TATATTTAAAATATATATATAAGGATTGTATTAAACGTGCTGATGCAGGTGTGATGGCTCACACCTGTAATCCCAGCACATTAGGAGGCCAAGTTGGGAGGATCGCTTGAAGCCAGGAGTTTGAAACCAGCCTGGGCGACATAATGAGACCTGTCTACAACAAACAAAATAACTGGGTGTAGTGGCACACCATGTAGTCCCAGCTACTCAGGAGGCTGAGGCAGAGGATCGCTGAGCCCGGGAGATCGAGGTTACAGTGAGCTATGATTGGATCTTGCACTCCGGCCTGGGCAACACAGCAGACCCTGTCTCTGAAAATAAATAATAATAATAATAAATTGTCCTGGGCAATGAGATTTTGATTCAGCATCCGGCTTTCATTGTCCAGAAGAGGGCAGCCTCGTTCACGTTTGTCTGTAGCCTCCCTGCAGACACCTCCTCCCTCCTCTGTTGTTAAAGGGCAGGCTTTATTTGTTAAGCGCATACAGCCTCCTGGGCAGCCAGTGGGAACTTGGGAGGTATTTTTCTCTTTGTTCTTTCTGGCTCTCTAACCAGATTCTAGTTAATTCCACCTGAGTCTGGACGTGTCCTAGTTTCATTTCTAGACCTGCTGTCCCAGCTCCCTACTGTGTCTCCCAACCTCCCTGCTGCAGACCCTCAAATCTCAGACCTCCCCTCCCTCCCTCACCTTCTCTGTTTTCAGAGGAATGTTTCCAAAGCACGTGCTCAAAACGTTCCAAGGCTAGCATTTGAAGAAATAAATAAATGTGATTAGGTTAAAGTCTAAATCCCCCGGTGGCATTCTTGACACGTAAGAATCAAACTGCAATCCACTTCTCCACTTTCCTCTGCTTGTACTCCCCTCAAAAAACCCACGTTTCCGTGGAATAAGCAGAACTACGGTTTGAACAACTCTAGGTCCGAGTCTAAATGCAAAGCTCAATGTCTTTACTTTCCATCCATATGACATGGCAAGGAAGTTAACCTCTATGAACCCTGGTTTTCATATCACTAGATGGGGCTCAGTGATACCTGCCCCTCATGGTTGGCATGAGCCATCTTGCCCAATTGCCAACCAAGTTTTTAAGAATCCTCCAATAATCCCCCAAACTCTCTTCTCTTTCAGATAGTGGGACTCTGTGCTCATGCCAGTAAGTAAAGAAGAAGGAATAAGAAAGACACTGTGTGATCTAGTATTAAAAGGAAGTAAGTGATCAAGTTACTCAGCTAGATCAGTAGAATCTATTATCAAGCACGTTGAGGCCGACAGCATTCACAAATAACTGTCTACGTTTATACTCACTGATGACTCGTGTTCTTTCGAGGACAAGTAAGCTTTTTAAATGATCAGACGTTTACATTAGTTTTGCTCTTCAATGGCTTTTCTCAAAAAAGATCCAAAGGCAAAAGTTAAATTTAAAGAGCTTTCCATGTGACTACCCCAAAGAGAGATTATCAATCACCAAATAAATATTTGTATACAAAATAATATCTGGATGCATAGATCTTATGTTCATCAGATGAAGAGTGAAAGACTTATTAGTCACCATGTTTATTTACACCCCTGTCAAAATTACATGAAAATATTTCTCTCCAAAGAACCATTCTAGAGAACCCTTTCATACAAAGTGGTGTGTGTACATCTAAGAGCTTGCTCAGTTTAGCTCAAAGGCTAAAGAGTTAGTAAACTGAGTTCCACCACTCATGACTTTTAAGTGGTAGGTTACCACCAGAAAGAGACGACTTCAAGCACAGATTCTAGCAGCAAGGCCAGGATTAAAAACCCATGTGACAACAGGCTTCAGAGAGAGGAACAATCCATTCCTAATTCAAAGGCCATCAAGCCCGAGTTGTAAGAACATTTTTGACTCTGAGGATCTTCTCTTTTCACCAAGAAAATCCCTTACAGCCATGGTTTAACATTCCTAAATAAGAAATAGAAGAAACCAAATTAATTTTTAATTTATACTCCACTTTTTATGTTTCCAATCGTCCACTACTGCAAGATGTACACTGAACGTACAAGTCATGCGCATCATTTTCATCAGACAACCTCATCTACCAAAATGGTGATAACACATCTTATTTTGAAGCCAAAAGAGAGTATAAACATCAATCGTTTTCAGATATGCTTTAAAAATGTTCAAAAGTAAATCATTATTTAAGTTACAGCACAATCATTAAAGGAAAAAAGAACCCAAGAACAAATAAAATTCGTTATTATTTTAGTTACTTTTAGTGGGAAAAATAAAACAAGATTTGGATTTTCAGCCAGGATAAAGTAAAAAGACTCTTGCCAGATGTCCATTTTCTCATTAATGAACTACTTGAGACTGTACTCCTGGGTCAACTTATTTCTGCTTCTCCTGTCTCTAGACCTATCTTAATTATATTGTGTCTCAGGATCCATGACATCGATTTAAACAAACCCATGGGCAAATCTAAACACTGACCACACAGTGTCCAGTTTATTCATTTCTCTACAAAATGACAGAAATTCAGCCTTTAATCAGAAGTTGATTCTACCTAAATTCCTAATAAAACTAATAAAATGAAGTCACCTGGCCTGGCGCAGTGGCCCACGCCTGTAATCCCAGCACTTTGGGAGGCCAAGGCGGGCAGATCACGAGGTCAGGAGATCGAGACCATCCTGGTGAACATGGTGAAACCCCGTCTTTACTAAAATACAAACAAATTAGCCTGGTGTGGTGGCGGGCGCCTGTACTTCCAGCTTCTAGGGAGGCTGAGGCAGGAGAATCTCTTGAACCCAGGAGGCAGAGGTTGCAGTGAGCCGAGATTGCACCTTTGCACTCTGGCCTGGGCGACAGAGTGAGACTCTGTCTAAAAAAAATAAAAAAAAATAGAAGCCATTAAAATGAACACATTTTTGTCAATGAGAAATAAACTTGTTTATTCCATGCTTTCAGGGTTCAATGAACTCTAGAAAGCGTTTCTGCATCCTGCTGGTTGTGGAAGTGTTTCCCTGCAAAATGTTGTCAAGATGCTTAAAGAGTGGTAGTTTGTTGGCAAGAGGTCAGGTGAATATGGTAGATGAGGCAAAACTTCATAGCCCAATTTATTCAACTTTTGAAGCCCTGGTTGTATGACATGTGGTCACGCGTTGTGGAGAACTGGGCCTTTCTGTTGATCAGTGCCGGCTCCAGGTGCTGCAGTGTTCCGTGCATCTCATCGAATGGCGTGGCATACTTCTCAGATGTAATGATTTCACCAGGATTCAAAAACTGTGGTGGATCAGAAGACCGGCAGCTGACCACCAAACAGTGATCATGACCTTTTTTTGGTGCAAGTTTGACTTTGGGAAGTGGTTTGGAGCTTCTTCTCAGTCCACCACTGAGCTGGCTGTTGTATGAAATGCACTTTTCGTGGCATGTCACAATCTGATCAAGAAATGGTTCAATGTTGTTTCATAGAATAAGAGAAGATGACACTTCAAAAGGATGCTTTTTAAAATATTTGGTCAGCTCATGAGGCACCCACTTATCAGCTTTTCAACTTTCCAATTGGCTTCAAATGCCGGATGACCATAGAATGGTCGACATTCAGTTCTTCGCCAACTTCTCGTGTGGCTGTAAGAGGATCAAATTCAGTGGTTGCTCTCAATTGGTGTTATCAATTTCGGTGGCTGCCCACTACCCTCCTCATCTTCAAGGCTCTTGCCTCCTTTGCAAAACTTCTTGAACCACTGCACTGTACATTAATTAGCAGTTCCTGGCCAAATGTGTGATGTTGTGAGTTGTCTCCCTGCTTTAGGACCCATTTTGAACTCGAATAAGAGAGTCGCTTGAATTTGCTTTTTGTCTGACATCATTTCCACAGTCTAAAATAAATAATAATAAGTCATTAGCAATAAAAAGCAAGAAATGCCCATTAAAATGATGAATAACATAACCACATTTATTTAAGAAGGTATTCCAGTATCAAACAGCAAATTCCAAGAATGCAAAAACTGCCATTCTTTTGTACTCACCTTATAGTAATTTGTGCGATTTCTTTTTTTCTTTGTTAGCCTGGCTTGATAGTGACCAATTTGTTGATCTTTATGAAGAAACAGCTGTTGTTCTATTGAGTTCTTCTGTTGATTTTCTGTTTTCAGTGCCATTGACTTGTCATCTTGTTTTTATTTCTTTGAGTGAATTTGGCTTATATTGTTCTTTTTTCTTTTCTTTTCTTTTTCTTTTCTTTTTTTTTTTTTTTTTTGAGACTTAGTCTTGCTCTTTTGCCCAGGTGACCTCGCTCTGTCGCACGAGGTCAGGAGATCGAGACCATCCTGGCTAACACGGTGAAACCCGTCTCTACTAAAAATATAAAAATTAGCCGGGCGTGGTGGTAGGCGCCTGTAGTCCAGCTACTCAGGAGGCTGAGGCAGGAGAATAGCATGAACCCAGGAGTTGGAAACTGCAGTGAGTTGAGATCGTGCACTGCACTCCAGCATGGGTGACAGAGCAAGATTCCGTCTCAAGAAAAAAAAAAAAAAAACATAGTAGCTGGGCATGGTGGTGCATGCTTGTAATCTCAGTTATTCGGGAGGCTGAGGCAGGAGAATTGCTTGAACCGGGACCCGGGAAGCGGAGGTTGCAGTGAGCCGAGATCCTGCCACTGCACTCCAGTGTGGCTACAGAGCAAGATTCTCTGAAAAAAAAAAAAAAAAAAAAAAATATATATATTATATATATATATATATATATATATATGTATTTGAAGTATTATCCAATGAGAGCAGGTGTTCTGGAAGACCTCATCTAAATACAGAATCTGAATGGGGGTCCATGTCACACCTGCCATTTTTTCATCTTTGCAGCTGGGCTTTTCTCCTCTTCTCTGCTGGATTCTGCTGTTTCCCACAAGGTGTTCAGAGAGTCTGCCCTGAATCCTACAAGCAGGAGATGAGAAACACACAGTGACACCAGCAGGAGAACATGAAGATGTGGTGACAGTTGTCCTCCTCCTGCAGAGTCCAGAGCAGTGCACTCCTACACTGGTGCCCTAGCTAAGCCTGGGGGCCAGCATGCCCGATGATAGTCTGGGAGTGCTGCAGAGTCCCCACAATGGGCACCCAGCCTGTGCCCTTGCATTCTGCATGATCGTGGCCATTGTCACCTCAGAGCCCCTGTGTACAGATCAGTGCATCCTAGCAGAGCTGCATGTGAGGAAAGACCACGTGAGTCCCGGGAAAGAGCTGAGGCCCTGCAGGGGAAGGTGGCCAGGACCGAGACCTGATGCCTGTCTGGAGAATCGTCTGTGGGTGTGAGTGGCACTGTGGGGTCAGTGCCTGGGTTCTGCTGCTCCCCCTCCTCGAAGATCAGGGCCCAAGCAGGGGATGGCATGTGTGTGGCACCTGGAACTGCAGGGCCACTACACATGTGTGAGGCCATCATGGGGACCTGAACACGGTGTCGTCTGCAGACCCCACCCATCCATTGGCCCAATTCCTGGCCAGCTTCTGCCAAGGTGAGAGGGTGGAATTTGGAAGGTGGGTGTAAGCTGAAGCCTGTCCCCCAGTGGCTGACATACAGTAGTGACACTCTCTGTGTGGGAGAAAGAAAGAGAGATCAGACTGTTACTGTGTCTATGGACAAAGACGAGGACATAAGAAAGTCCATTTTGATCTGTACTAAGAAAATTCTTCTGCTTGAGATGCTGTTAATCTGTAACCCTAGACCCAACCCTGTGCTCACAGAAGCATGTGCTGTATGACTAAAGGTTTAATGGATTTAGGGCTGTGCAGGATGTGCCTTAGTGAAAATGTGTTTGCAGGCAGTATGCTTGGTAAAAGTCATCGCCGTTCTCCAGTCTCGAGTACCCAGGGACACAGTGCACTGCGGAAAGCCTCAGGGACCTCTGCCCAAGAAAGCCTGGGTATTGTCCAAGGTTTCTCCCCACTGAGGCAGCCTGAGATATGGCCTCGTGGGAAGTGAAAGACCTGACCATCCCCAGCCCGGCCCCGTAAAAAGTCTGTGCTGAGGAGGATTAGTGGAAGAGGAAGGCCTTTTTGCAGTTATATAAGAGGAAGGCATCTGTCTCCTGCTCATCCCTGGGAATGGAATGTCTCGGGGTAAAACCTGACCATACATTCTATTTACTGAGATAGGAGAAAACCACTTTATGGCTGGAGGCGAGACATGCTGGCGGCAATACTGCTCTTTACTGCACGGAGATGTTGTGTAAAGTCAAACATAAATCTGGCCGACGTGCACATAGAGGCACAGCACCTTTCCTAAACTTATTGATGACACAGAGTCCTTTGCTCACATGTTTTCCTGCTGGCCCTCTCCCACCACTACCCTGTAGTCCTGTCACATCCCCCTTGCCAAGATAGTAGAGATAGTGATCAATAAATAGTGAGGGAACTCCAGAGACCCATGCCGGTGCGGGTCTCTGTATGCTGAGCGCGGTCCTCCATATGCTGAGCGCAGGTCCCCTGGGCCCACTTTTCTTCCTCTATACTTTGTCTCTGTGTCTTATTTCTTTTCTCAGTCTCTCATCTCCACCTTTCGAGAAATACCCACAGGTGTGGAGGGCAGGCCCCCTTCACTCTGATGCCACCCTTGCCCTCACCTAGCTCTCTCATACCTGGGATTCTAAGGGGTCTGCCCAGGGTTGCATGTCCACTGCCAATCAGAGGTGAGCAGTCGATGCCTCCTGGATGTGGGGCTACTGGTGGTCAAGGCCTGGCAGTATGTGGAGGGTCTTCTCAGAGGGGCCATGGGGCCAGGAATGGGATGGGGCGCTAACTCCTCCCTGCATAGGAACGCAGCCCCCAGCCAAGCCCGCCCAAGTATTCCAGGTGCTGCCCACCCGCATGCACACTGCTAGGCTCCAGGTGGCCTGGCAGAGAGGGATGGCCTGGTGGGCAGCTGAGAAGCCAGAATGAAGGGGGCGTGCACTGCCATCCGCAGTCTGGCAGCCACGAGCAGGGCGGCTGTTGCCTGGTGAGCGAGGGGGATTGGGGAAGGGCAGGCAGCCCAGTGGGCCTGATTTACCAGTGAATGAGCTGTGGGCAGAGCCGCTCCTGGCTGAGGGCTGGGGTTGGGACAGTCTGTTTGTACCTCCTGGGCTCCAGACTGCCAGCTGCCTGCCAGGGTCTGAATGTCTACTGTGACCTGTTTCCTCACCTGGCCCAGAGGACAGATAAGGAAGGCTTGTTTTGAGGATTGGCAGGGTAATCCCAGTCAGCCCTCATTAGCTTGCCTATCCTCCAGGTCTTTTTGGTTTTTTTTTCTCTTCTTTGTTATGAAACTCTGGAGAATTGTCCTCCAGCATGTCTTCAGCTGGGGAGGTGGAAAGGCTGGACCATGCCCTTGGCTTCAGGGCCCCTTCTGCGTGCCCCCTCCTCCTAGGGTTTTTAAAAGCATATACTTAGCAACATACCCTGTACCTGAGAGAGCTGCAGAGAACCTCCTACGTGTCCAAACCAGAACACTTTGTTCCCTGACCCCAGGCCCTCATCACACCCCAAATACTTTCAGGTGGCCAGCTTCAGACGAGAGTCTGAACTCAATGCTTGTTTTCTGGGGTCTACACAGGCCCGTATGATGGGGCTACCTCCATTCTACCCTGTGCCTCCCCCAATTCATTAGGGGCCTCAACTCCAGTGATTCCTAACTGGGAGTAAGGTTCCCCAGGCAAGGAATGCAGCCCTCCCCAGAATGCTGGCCTGGCCATGTCCCAATGGACATCAGTCCTGGAGCAAGAGGTCCAAGGCAGGGAGTTTCACCCACCATTTCACCAGGTGTGGTGATCTTCCTGGGTTCCTAGCCTTCAAGATGGGATTTTTACACTCTGCCACAGTGGGGGAAACCGAGGCACAGGGCCAGTGAGCGTAAAGAAAGAAACCTCTGTGACTAGGAAACATGTCACTTGCCCAGCACAGCCGCGCCAGGATAGCACCCTTTGGGATGTACTGCTGAGCTGTTCTTGGCCGTGGCATGGCACTGGGGTGGAGGTCAGCAGCTTGTGGAGTTGGGGGTGGGGGTGCTGGCAGGACGGTAATTTGGACCCACCATGGGGAGGAAGGGGACATTGCCCCTTTCCCACACCTTGGGCACAGCAGCAATTTTCTTCTCTGATGTTTGTGGGCACCAATGCCTATGTGGGTGTGGGTCATCCTCCCCTTTTGTTGGTGAAGAACCTTCCTGCAGCCGTTGGGGTGGGTATGGGCACCACATGTGCCTGGCAGCAGGTGGGGCCTGCGGAGGCTTGCTACTATATGTCTCACTGCCACCTCCCCAGGGGAAGCAGACCTGTGCCCTAGGCCCCTCATACCCAGTCCCTCACATTCTTCACTTGGCATCTCCCTGCCGATTCTCCCAACTCAGCCCCTGCCAGGTTTCTCCAGGCCCTGTGGGCCCTGGGATGGGCTCAAAGGAGGCAGCAACTGTGCTGCCTGCCTCTGCCTGAAGTCAGGGATCCCTGGCCGCTACTGGCGTCTGGTGGCAGGGTAGGTGGGGAGGTCAGGGGTCAGCTTTTCCACTCCCTAGCCTGCACTGGCGAAGCCACCAGGTGTAACTGGCCTGGAGGCTGATCTGTGTCCTCCACAGTCCCTTGATGCATTATATAAGCCAATCCTTGTGTGAATGACTTGGCCTGTTGTTACCGCCCAGTCAAACCAGAACCGAAAGACTCTTGCACTCGGGCCCAGAGCCTGGGGCTGAGGCCGCCATGACCACCCTGTTCTCTTCCTTCTGGGGTCCCTAGGAAGCTCCCAGGACTGAATGATCCCCACAAACACAGTGGCCAGGATGGGAGGGCTGGAGGTCAACTCCCCCCCCCTACCACCACAACCAAAAGGCCCCATGGAGGTTGGCCCTGAGCTGTGGGTCCCTGTCGGATGCAGGTTCCCACGGATACTTCAGGGGGTGAGCATGGGTCCTCCTGGCTGACGGGAGTCTGGTGGGCACTGGGTGTGTGGGCCTGTGTAGGTGGGTTGGACAGCACTGGGCCTAGCCAGGGAGCCGGGGACTGGTGTGGCCAAAGTGGGCAGCAATATGTTGCCAGAACAAAACTACAGTGCAACCAGCACAGCTGGTAGGGAGAAGGAGGCCTGCCTAGCAGGACCATCCACCCCTGTCCTGGCCCCAAGCCCAGACTGCCTGCCTGTACTGGACATTGCTGGTCCAGGAGGCCTGGGCATGAGGGTCAGGTGGTGTGTCCCTGGGTTCCAGACTTTGGTGGTCCCTTGGGAGCTGAGCATCCTCTGGACAGGAGGAGGACTCGCGGTCCACTGTTTGTATCGGCCCCTGGGGGTGTGCCCCCACCCAGCTTCTGAGCCTACACAGGGACGTGGCCAGGGCTCCTCCCCTGACCTATGGCTCCAGCTCTGAAAAGCTCACTGATGACTCTAACAGCTTCCTCCCCAAAGCTTGGGTCCTCGTCTGTGGGAATGGGGTGTCCCAGGCCCCCTGCAGGCAGGAACCCACCCCCAGCTCCTCTGGTGGGCCCTCCTGGGATTTCTTACCTACTGGCTTGTGAGACCCGGTTGGCCAAACTTGGTGTCCTATTTTATTTTGGCCTTTTTCTTAGTGTGTGTTTTCTTTAACTACTGCTGTGTAGATCTTCTATTGGAGTTTTAGTAGAGAATCTTGCCCACCCAGAGGGCCCCCACCCCAGAGAGCCTCCACTTCGGCCCCCCCTGGGCTGGTCCTGCTTGTGCTCCGCTTGGTGTGAATGTTGAGTGTGATGGAACCACACGGCTGCTTGACCCTGCATCTCCTTCCTTGTTGCTGAGGCCGGTTCTGTTCTCTCTTTCTCCATGTGAATTGCACTTGAAGCCAAGATGAAGGATGAGAAGTGGTTGCTACGAAGGACCCTCCTGCAGCGAACCCACTGTGAGGAGGCTACGCTGACCCAGCCTGTCATTTCCTTCTCTAAGCTCATTCCAGAGGTCGGCCAGGGGCAGGGGCAGCCTGTACCTGCCTGCTCTTGTGGCCCGTGAATCAAGAATGGATTTTACATTTCCAAATGCCTGAACAAATAAAAAAATAACAATTCATGACACTGAGAAGGTTCCATGTCCGTAAGTAAAGTTTGATGTGGGTGCAGTCATGCCCATCTCTTCACAGGCCACCTGCAGAAGGCTGCTGTGGTGTAGCCATGGCAGAGTTGCATTCTTGAGGTAAAGATCAGTTGGCAAAGCTGAAAATACTGACTCCCGGCTCTTTAGGGAAACAGTTTCCAGTCCCTGGTTTAAGGACTGTGTGGCAAGACCCCAGGATCTTGGTCAGCTTGTTCCTCACTCAGGGCCTGCTGTGGCCTTCCCTAGTATGTCTGCAAAGTCTGCGTGCTATGGTGCCTCTCATGGGGGCATTGAGCTCTGTCGTGCTAGATTTCAGGGTGTCTGCCTCATGGTCACCTGTCTCACCAACAGAGACCCTGTGGCCAGATTCAAACTAGCAGGAGCGGTTGGTCTTTGGCAGCAGGGATACCTTCAAGCTGAGCTGCCACCACCCTGAGGTGGTCCCATGACACTCACTGTCTCGGTCAAGGTTGGGGCAGGGTGGTGTCCTGAACTGCCCTGCGATGTGGATCGTAATAGCCAGGGGGGAGAGGGGGTTGCTATTACTCCCATATCATGGGGAGTGCCTCACCCCCTGCGATGTGGATCATAATAGCCAATTACTCCCCCCTGCAATGTGTGTCCATTATTAGCAGTCTCTTTTATTCAGGATATTAGGAACAATTTCACAGGTTGCGTGTACACAGCCTTCGACAGGAGAACGAACACCATCCTCTGCACCTCCGGATATTAGGAACCATATCACACAATGAGTGTACACTTTTTGGGAGATTTGAGGTAATGTCGCCCTGTGTTTCCCTGAATATTCGGAGACATATCACAGGGCAGTTGTACACCCACTACTCTCTTGGCAGGAACATCATACTTTACCTACTGGAAATTAGGAGCAATATCACAGACTGGGTATCAAGCCACTGTCATACTGGAAGTAATATCATGCTCTCCCCCACAAGTTATGAGGAATAATATCACAGGGGGGTGTGTACCTTCTCCGGTAGTGGGAGTAGTATTATCATGTCTTCCTTTAGATGACAGGAACAATATCACAGGGTGGGTGTACACCCTGTGTGTTTTTGGAAGCAATGTCATTCTCTCTTCTTCTAGGTTTTAGGATTCATATCACAGGCAGGATGTACACCCCTTGTTATTTTGGATGGAATCTCATCCTCTTTCAACCTGTATCTTTAGAACAATATCACATGGGGGCTGTCCATCCTTCAATATTGTTAGTAATACCATCTTCTCCTTTCCTGGACATAAGAAATAATATCACTGGAGCGGTGTACACCCCTTGCAATGTTGGTAGTAATATCACCTCTCCCCTGTGGTTATTAAGGACAAAATCCCAGGGTGGCTGTACGGTTCCTACTTTATTGGGAGTAATGTCATCCATTCACCCCCTGGATAAGAGGAACCATATCACTGAAGAGGTGTCCACCCCCTTCGATATTGTCAGCCATGTCATCCTCTTCCTGCCTGGATATTAGGAACGATACCCAGGGTTGCAGGCGGTGTATACCCCCTGCGATATCAAACAAATCATGCTCTTTCCCGCTGGATATTAGGAACTACATCACAGGTGTGTGTGCCCTTCTGGGATATCGGGAGTACTATCAGCCTCCACCCCTCTGCATATTAGGAACAATATACAGGGGACAGGGTGGTTACACCCCCTGCGACGTTGAGAGCAATATTCTTCTCTTTCCCCTGTACATTAGGAACCACATCACAGGGGTCTGTACACCTTCTGCGATATTGGGATTAATGTTATCCTCTCCCCCAACTGAATGTCAAAAACAATATCACAGAAGGATGTACACCCCCTACGATATTGCCACTGGTATCATCGTCTCCCTCCCAGGATATAGGGAACAATATCACAAGGGGTGTACATCCCCTGCAATATTGGGAGTAATGTCTTCCTCTCCCCCGCTGACTATTACGAACAATGTCACAGAAGGAGTGTACAACCCCTGCTCTGTAGGGGGTGATATCCTCTCCATCCCTGGATATTAGGAACAATATCACTAGACAGTGTACACCTCCTGCAATATTGAGAATAATCCTCTCGTCCCCTGGATATCAGGAATCATATCACAGGGGTGGTGTACATCCACTGCGAATCAAAGAAATACCATCATCTGCACCTTTGGATGTTAGGGACAATATTATGGGGGAGGTCTACAACCCCTGCGATATTGGGAGTCATATCATTCTCTCTCACCCAGGATATAAGAAACAAGACGACCGAGGGGATATACAACCACTGTGACAGTTTCAATAATGTTATCCTCTACTCGATGGCTATTAGGAAAAACATCATAGAGGGGTGTACACTTTCTTCAATGTTGGGAGTAATATCATTCTCTCCCCGCCGGATATCAGGAACAAGTCTATTAATTATTAATATAATAAATATAATAAAATTAATAATAATAATCAATGTTAATACTCATAATAAAGGTAGTAAAAATGAATACTGGTTAAAAATGTTAACAATTGGTATTAATAATTAATAGTAATATCACTATTAATAATAAAGAATGATATCAGCAATTAATGTTGCTTAAGTCAATATTAAGAGATGTTGGTAATAAAATAATGATTAATATTAGAACTAATAATATTGTTAATGACATTAATATTCATAATTAATTTTAAGCGTGCATAATCATATATGTAAAATAATTATCCATAATTAATAATGGTATCCTATTAATAGTGTCATTGAAAATTATTAAAATTGATCATTGATGTTTAATAATTAATCAAATTATTACTCCTAATACCGCAAGGGGTGTACACCTAACTGTGATGTCATTCCTAATATCCAGTGACGGAGAGCATGATATTAGTTTTAATATCGCAGTAGGTGTACACTCAGCTGTGACACCGATCCTAATATCCAGGCGGATAGAATATGACATGCCTCCCAACATAGCAATGAATGGACAGACACCTGGTGATACTGCTCCTAATATTCACGGAAGAAGCATATGATATCATTCCTAATATCACAGGGAGTGTACAGTTCTTCTGTGATATTGTTCCTAGTATCCAGAAGGGGAGAGGATGATAATAATTCCGTATCACAGGCTGTGTTCACCCGCCCTGTGATATTGTTATTAATATCCTGGAAGGGAGAGGATGATATGGCTCCCGATAGAGCAGGAGGTGTACAACCAGCCTGGGATATTGTTTCTAATATCCATGGAGGGGAGAGGCTGATATTACTCCCAATATGACAGGGGGTGAACATCCACCCTGTGATACTCTTCTTAATATCTCAAGGCCGAGAGGTTCATACTACTCCCAGTATTGAAGACACTGTACATCCCGTGTGATACTCTTCCTGAAATCCGGAAGGGAAGAAGATGGAATTAATTCCCATATCACAGGAGTTGAACACACACTCTGTAATATCTTTCATAATTCGCAGGGGGGTGAGCCACCCCCCGCGAGGTGGGGACCAATAGCCACCCTCTCCCCCCTTGGCTATTGGGAGCCACCTCGCAGGGGGGTGAGCCACCCCCCGCGAGGTGGGGACCAATAGCCACCCCCTCTCCCCCCCTTGGCTATTGGAGCCACCTCGCAGGGGGTGAGCCACCCCCCGCGAGGTGGGACCAATAGCCACCCCCTCTCCCCCCCTTGGCTATTGGGAGCCACCTCGCAGGGGGTGAGCCACCCCCCGCGAGGTGGGGACCAATAGCCACCCCCTCTCCCCCCTTGGCTATTGGGAGCCACCTCGCAGGGGGGTGAGCCACCCCCCGCGAGGTGGGGACCAATAGCCACCCCCTCTCCCCCCCTTGGCTATTGGGAGCCACCTCGCAGGGGGGTGAGCCACCCCCCGCGAGGTGGGGACCAATAGCCACCCCCTCTCCCCCCTTGGCTATTGGGAGCCACCTCGCAGGGGGGTGAGCCACCCCCCGCGAGGTGGGGACCAATAGCCACCCCCTCTCCCCCCCTTGGCTATTGGGAGCCACCTCGCAGGGGGGTGAGCCACCCCCGCGAGGTGGGGACCAATAGCCACCCCCTCTCCCCCCTTGGCTATTGGGAGCCACCTCGCAGGGGGGTGAGCCACCCCCCGCGAGGTGGGGACCAATAGCCACCCCCTCTCCCCCCCTTGGCTATTGGGAGCCACCTCGCAGGGGGGTGAGCCACCCCCCGCGAGGTGGGGACCAATAGCCACCCCCTCTCCCCCCCTTGGCTATTGGGAGCCACCTCGCAGGGGGGTGAGCCACCCCCGCGAGGTGGGGACCAATAGCCACCCCTCTCCCCCCCTTGGCTATTGGGAGCCACCTCGCAGGGGGGTGAGCCACCCCCCGCGAGGTGGGGACCAATAGCCCCCCCTCTCCCCCCCTTGGCTATTGGGAGCCACCTCGCAGGGGGGTGAGCCACCCCCCGCGAGGTGGGGACCAATAGCCACCCCCTCTCCCCCCCTTGGCTATTGGGAGCCACCTCGCAGGGGGGTGAGCCACCCCCCGCGAGGTGGGGACCAATAGCCACCCCCTCTCCCCCCCTTGGCTATTGGGAGCCACCTCGCAGGGGGGTGAGCCACCCCCCGCGAGGTGGGGACCAATAGCCACCCCCTCTCCCCCCCTTGGCTATTGGGAGCCACCTCGCAGGGGGGTGAGCCACCCCCGCGAGGTGGGGACAATAGCCACCCCCTCTCCCCCCTTGGCTATTGGGAGCCCCTCGCAGGGGGTGAGCCACCCCCGCGAGGTGGGGACCAATAGCCACCCCCTCTCCCCCCCTTGGCTATTGGGAGCCACCTCGCAGGGGGGTGAGCCACCCCCCGCGAGGTGGGGACCAATAGCCACCCCCTCTCCCCCCCTTGGCTATTGGGAGCCACCTCGCAGGGGGGTGAGCCACCCCCCGCGAGGTGGGGACCAATAGCCACCCCCTCTCCCCCCCTTGGCTATTGGGCCCCGCAGCCACCCCGCAGGGGGGAATAGCCACCCCCCCCCCCGGAGGGG